AGGCACCCACCACCACACCTGGCTAATTTTTTGCATTTTTAGCAGAGAAGGGGTTTCACCATGTTGGCCAGGTTGGTCTCGAACTCCTGACCTCAAGGGATCCGCCTGCCTTGGCCTCCCAAAGTGTTGGGATTACAGGCGTGAGCCACCACACCTGGCCCATCCCTAGTATTTCAGGTGATATGTTTAGCAGGTCCTAGCAGCCTCGTTGGCCCGGGTTCGAATCCTGATGCCACCGCTTCTTAGCTGTCTAATCATGTGCATGTTATCCAAGCTCTGAGACCCGTTTCCCTATCTGCTAAGTGGGGCTGATGATAGCACCTACCTCAGAGCGTCATTGGGAGGGTTCAGTGATGTAATATGAAAATTGTAGAGGACTGCTTGGGCCATAAAAAGGGCTATGGAAGTTTTGCTGTTGTTATATTTTGTTCAATCATTATCACCAAGCTCTCTATGTGGTGTGATGGCCCTGCACTGCAGATGATGAAACCGAGGCTGTGAGGAGCGGGCATAAATCGGCAAATCAGCATCAAAGGGGAGGAGCTGGGGACCGGGCATGGTGGCTCATGCCTGTAATCCCAACACTTCGGGAGAACAAGGAGGGCAGATCACCTGAGGTCGGGAGTTACAGAGCAGCCTGGCCAACATACAGTGAAGCCCCATCTCTCCTAAAAATACAAAAATTCGCTGGGTGTAGTGGTGCATGCCTGTAGTCCCAGTTACTTGGAGAGCTGAGGCAGGAGAATCACTTGAATCCAGGAGGTGGAGGTTACAGCGAGCTGAGATTGCACCACGCACTCCAGCCTGGGTGACAGAGTGAGACTCCATCTCTCAAAAAAAAAAAAAAAAAAGGACCAGGTGGGACGGGGAGGAGTTGGGATTTGAACCCAAGTCTTACTGATGCCCAAGCCTGTGTTTAACCACTACCCTCACCAGCCTCCCCGTCTTCTGTGAAGCACTTGACACATCACACAGGTGCTTTTCCAACCTGTATTGGGAAGGAAGGGGCAGGAATCAGAGAGGGGAAGCAGTTGGCCCAAGGGCACTCAGCAGTCCTTCCTGGAGCCAGGTTTCCTGAGTCCAGCCCTGGGCTTCCCCTTAGCAAGGTGTGGGGGTCAGGTTGCTGCCTCTGCTGCCTGCTGGACCTCCTGCCCGGGCAGGGGGCTGGGAGAGTCCTGAATGCTCACAGTGCATTCCAGGGCCCTACTTGTCTGTCTGGAAGCTGCTACAAAGTAGCAAACCCCACCCTGTCCCTCCAATGTGGGAGAAATCAGGAGACCAGGAGTTCAGACCCAAAAATGTCCAATGTCCTATGCAGTTTCTCAAAGGAAGCTGGGTTTATCTTTGCAACACACACACACACACACACACACACACACACACACACACACACACCAGTTACTACACCTTCACACCCACAGGCTCAGTCAGGGAGGCACAGCCATCATACCACATGGCCCCTGCCTCAGACATACAAGTAACATCCATCAACCATCAAATCTTTCCCTCTCTTACTCACACCCCCTGAGACTTGTGTCCCAAACACACTCCTGACACCCAGGCGCATACATCCTCCTCCCTCCGGCATGCTTGAGCCCCAGAATACCTGTGTCCTCTCCCACACGGACCCCCATACACTTGAACTCTCACAGGGCCATTCTCAGAAACACAGGGGCCGTCCCTCCCACCCACAGCCTGACGCACAGATGACCTTACACCCTCGAGCGCACAACCTGAATACCCAACTCTAAAGTACAAGACCCTCTCCTGGGACTGCCCCTGCCCTCTCAACAGGGTTTGCGGGGGTCGGGAAGAAGTGAGGGGGGCCCAGGGAGAGGGGGAACCCTCCACGGTCTCAGCGCAGCCCCTCAGCTCCTTCCCGGGGTCAGCTCTGCCCGTCCCTCCCCGTGCCTTGCCCACCCACATCACACGCTTTTTAAGAGGTGCCAGGGAAAGAGACAGGTCTTCAGGCACCTACGTTCTGGGGAGTCCACAGCCATTGATGCATTGAATCCCAGGAAGACTGATGTGGACGCTGAGGCTCAGAGAAAGGGGGCATCCACTCAAGGACTCACAGCCAGAAGGGGGTAGGGGCCTGGGGTTGGACCAGGGCTGCCGGACCCCAGAGGGTTAGGGCACGCAAAGAACATGCCAGGGGTGGAGGCCGCATGAGCGGCCGCAGAGGCCAAGGTAGAGAAATGGGGTGTGCAGGGAGTGCCCGGCCGCCCCCTTACCCTATATCCTACCCACACCCCATCATCCACCCACTACAGGAGGCAAAAATCTCTGGCCCCTCCGGGAGGGGAATGAGCTGGAGCCGGAAAGGGGCCAGGTGGGCGGGGCACGGGAGGGCTGAGCGTGGGCCGAGGCTGCCACCTGCTGGACGAGACGGACCCAGGCGCAGAGGAGGTGAAAAGGGAGGAGAGGAGCCCAGAGCCGTCCAGGCTGGGTCGCCCCCAGCCCTGTAATGCAACGTCCATCATTTCTGCTCATCCCAGTCTTCCAAACCGCTAGGGACTCCTGCGGCAAAGTGCATTCATGCCCCTTCTCCCACACTCTGCAGCCCCACGGCACAGGGTGGAGATACAGGTGGGGAGACTGAGAACCTAAGGTTTCCTCAGTGCGGCAGGGGCAGAGCTCTGACCACCTGACCGTGCCTGGCACGGGACAAGGCATTGATGTGTGTTATGCACTGAATCCAGCCACTGCCCTGCATGGGAGCTATCGGAAGCCCCCATGTTTCAGAGGAAGACCCGCAGGTGTAGGATCGAGGCTGGAGCCCCATTACTGCCTGACAGCCCTTTCATTCCTAGAATCTCATGTAAGAAGAGGCAGAGGGGAGAGGGCCTCTCAGCTCTGCCAGCCTGGTCCTGACCAGGAGCCCCTCACCAGCCATGGTGGGTTCCAAGCCCAGAGGCACGGCATGCCCAGGATGCAGGCCAGGAAGGTGGTGTTGGCAGGGAAGGTGAAACTGTCAGGGAAGACCAGGGGCCTCAGCAAAGGAAGAGGCACCAGTACAGGAAGCTGAGGCCCCCGGGGTGGACAGAAGGAAGGCCAGAGGGACAAGTGATTCACTGAGGGCATCTGGTCCATGGAGTGACAGGGCTGGAAGGAGAAGCCGGGGCCCTGACTCTAGCCAGGGTGGCCCATGCACCACAGCCCCTGCCTGCCTGCCATCCCAGTGGCTCCATCCTGGGGGTCCAGCTCCAAGTTCGGCCACTGGGATGGGGCTCATGGAAGTTTCTAGAACAAGCCTTACCACTTGACAAGTGCATGCAAGGCTTGTTTCTGGGGGCAGCTGAGCAAAGGGGTCAGAGCAAGGTTTTGGGCCCCAAGAGACCATTCAGTGTGTGACTTTGGGCAATGGCGTACATCCCACACACACACCACCCACACACACACACACACACACCCCCACACACACCCCATGTACACCTCAGTTTCCTCATCTGTAAAGGGGGAAAATAACTTCCTCCTAGGGATGATGGGAAAACTGAGTCTCAGGCACAGCAAATGCCAGCGTTGGACATTAGATGGGCTGAATCTGACTCTGGGGGACGTCTGTGCCTTGGGAGCTTGTGCACACACACACACACCACACATATCACACACACACACCACACACCACACACACACACACACCACACACACACCACA